TCCATCACTATGAAAACATTTCTTAATTAATGATGCCTTAGTCCAATTTCTTTTAATGTATATCCACATATTTGAAGCAACACTTTAAATATGTGTTGCTATAGGCCGCGCAAGACCTTAAACCCGACGTCGACAAGCTCTCTGGTTTCTGAACTTGGTGGCATTGTGGACTTGAGGCAAAAGAGAGAGTCATGCTTGATGAATTTGAATTGTTAAAATGCAGGTGATGTCACAAATTTGGCTGCATAAAATATATGTCCAGTGGTCTTCACAGCTGGTCACATCACATTTCACCAAATTTTGGTTTAAGATATTTGATAGGTTATACGTCTAGAGAGAAGTGAGAGCTAGAGAGAGAAGTGATTTGTATTAATGATTTTTGAACCCTTACAACTACTCCAAATGGGAGTATTTATAGGGAAAATATGGGCTGGGCTCCCAAGTCTTGGGCTTGGGAGGCCCATTACAATATATGACCTCTATTGGGCTTAGTACATTCGAATATATTGGCTAAGTATGGAAGTCTGGCTCTGTGAGCTCTCTGTGGCCGACGGACGTCTGGCCGAAGGAGGTTCGGCCGAAGGAGACACAACCGACGGAGGACCATCCGAGCTGATTGCTGCTTGGGTCATATTCTGAGCTAACTGTTGTCTGGCCGACGGGGGCGCCGGCCGATGGAGGCACCGGCCGACGGAGGACAAGTCTTCCCCTTGACTTCTGGACCGTATTCTAGATCGACTCTTCTTCGGCCGATGGAGGGCCATTTCGCCGAAGGAGGACCCACTGGGTGATAGTTGTGTTTTCTCTAGTCTTCTGAGTATGTGGGTCGTGGGGTCTAGACCCATATACTCCATCAATATTCTTAAAAACAAATACTATCGTATATTTTTTCACTACACACATCTCAAAAAGCTACTTAGGGGGTGTTTGGAACCACTTTTACAAACTGATTCTGCTGTTCAAAAGAGTATTTTGAAGCAAAATCAGTTTTGTAGGTGTTCGGATCTCATTTTAAAAATGCTTTTGGATGGCTGAAAAATCAGTTTTGTAGAAGCTGGATAGTAGCAGCTTCTCCGAATCAGCTTCTTCAAATCAGCTTCTTCTGCTTCTTCTAATTTTATTCGTTAAATGCCCTCACTCAATGTTCGATGCAAACCACAATCAATTACAGCTTGCGAGAGCTTGAACTTCTTCTCCAACCAGCTCTTTTCTTCTCTGGCTCTTCTCTTCTGATCTTCTCTGACCCACAACCCAGGTAAATCACCATCCGGCCGACTGTTCTCTTCTCGTCTATTCTAGAGTTGTGATTTTTTTTTTTTAATTTTCTCTTAATTAATATCTTTATCCAATTATTATTGGCTTTGTCTTCCTCTTTCGAAAGCCACTCCTGGGCTCTGGTTGTGCTTCAGAGAGGGGCTCTCCTCTTCACCCACCAGCTATCCTTTTTTCCTTTAGCAGCCTATTGCAATGAGAATTCGATCTAAACCCACATTAATTTTTATTTTGGGAAAAATAATTAAAATACTACAAAGTCCAAACTTTGATGGGGTGTGAGATAAGCATCCCAATTTTGCATATACTCCCTCCGTCCCTAATAACTTTTCCAAATTTGACCGGCACGAAAATTAATAAAGTAAAAACTGTGTGGTTGAGGTTTGTGCAGAGGAGAAAGAATTAACTGGAACCACAAATTCTTTACTTAAAAAGGAAAGTGACAAAGTTAATGGGACATCCAAAAAAGTAAAGTTGGCAAAGTTATAAGGGACGGAGGGAGTATAATTTAAATACCCTAAACTTTATATAAAAAGTTATTTTAACACCATGATCATGTATTATTTCTTTCAAAAATGTTAATTTTTGGTGTTTATTTCATAATTTGATAATTTTTAGCATTCATAAAGATACAATTAACATTCTAAGCTTCCATTGTAAAATAAATAGTATTACCCACCACTATGTATAATTCTAATGTTTACAATTTGCTATTTTAAATTATGCATTGGACATCATAAATTTACATTTTTGAAAGAAATAATACATAACCATGGTGTTAAAATAACTTTTTATATAAAGTTTGTGGTATTTAAATTACTTATGAAAGTTCGAGGTGTTTATCTCCCACCCCTTCAAAGTTTGAGGTATTTTAATTAGGAAGAATTTGACTTTGCACCTCATGTTTTGGGTGATATTTGACTTTGCACCCTGTTTTTAAAATCATTAATGTATGCACCCCATCTACCCAAAATTTGTGAAGGAGTGGGGTGCAAAGTCAAATGATTTTATATTGAATTGGGGTGCATACATTAATGATTTTGAAAATAGGGTGCAAACTCAAATATCACCTAAAACATGAGGTGCAAAGTCAAATTCACCCTTTTAATTATTTTCCCCTTTTATTTTTCATATATCTCTTTATTAGTATTTTTTTCTCTCTTTAGGAGTAGTATATTACAATGAATGCATACTATATGTCCTTCAGGTAAATTTACATCAAAATCAGTTTTTGAAAGGAAGTTATCGAAACACTCTAAACTGATTCTCTGTTACATACATCAGAATTAATACCAAACACTCCAGACAAAATCACTTTTTCAAACAGCTGAAAATTCTAATTCTGCTTCTTACTTAAAAAAACAGAAGTAGAATCAGTTCCAAACACATCCTTAGTGTATAAAAAGGAGTTACTGCAAAACCACAATGTTGGAAATGTTGAAAGCAATTTTCGAATTCTGAGAGAAGCAAATTATAAATAATTACATTTCCATAAAATTTTGAAGAAGGTGTAATGAATTGTAAATTGAGAATTTCATATTATTATTGATGTAAAATATAGCAATATATACAACATTCCTATAACGGTAATACTAACTAAGGTAGGGTATTAATAAGTGATCTACGTATAAGGAAGGGGAATAATGCTATACAAGGAGTAAATAATTGAATACATGGAAATTAATAAATGATTTCAACCCCCCCCCCCCCCCCCCCCCCCGCAAGCTTAAGGGCGAGTGACGAGCTTGGATGTAATAGCGTGGAAAGCAGGTGGCGGTAAACTCTTTGTGAAGATGTCGGCCAACTGTTGAGCAGATGCAACAAAAGCAGTGCGTATGGTTCCTTGTTGAATACGTTCACGAACAAAATGACAGTCTATCTCAACATGTTTGGTACGTTCATGAAAAACGAGATTGTTTGCGATGTGTAGTGATGCTTGATTATCGCAATAGATTGTTTGCAACCAAGGAGGCCTGTGTCAGATAAAATTTCAAACACATATTTGTGTTGGTTGAAAAAATGCCAGCGGAAGATCAGGCAACCTCGATGCCCAAGAAATATTTAAGGGGCCCAAGGTCTTTGATCTGGAAGCGTTGAGAGAGATACATTTTGAGGAGAGGCACAATGATAGGATCAGCACCTGTAATAATAATATCATCAACATAAACAAGTAAAACAGTAAGATAAGAGTCACGAAGATATGTAAACATGGAGTAGTCAGCCTTAGATTGAGTAAAACCGGTTTGTAATATATAGGGCGGTGGAAAAAGTTGCAAACCAAGAACGAGATGCCTGTTTGAGGCCGTATAAGGATTTGCGTAAGTGGCAAACACGAGTCTCGCCTTTCTGGCCGTAGCCCGGAGGAAGAGTCATATAGACATCTTCATATAAGTCACCATGGAGGAAAGCGTTAGAAACGTCGAGTTGATGAGTAGGCCATCCTTGGTGGCTGCAATGCTCAAAATAGTACAAACGGTGGTAAGTTTAGTGACCGGAGCAAAAACCTCGGTATAGTCAAAACCTTCAAATTGGGAGTACCCTTTCGCAACAAGGCGGGCTTTGTAACGCTCAATAGAACCATCAGGATTATATTTAATTTTATAAACCCACCGGCAACCAATATCTTTTTTATTAGGGGGGAAGAGATGTTAAGTCCCAAGTGTGATTGGCTTCAAGAGCCGCAATCTCAGAGGCCATGGCTTGACACCATTTAGGATCTTTGCGGGCAGCAGAGAAAGAATTAGGTTCAGTAATTCGAGTGATATTATTGATAAAGAGAAGATGTTTTGGAGAATATGAGGTGGGTTGGAGAGAGGACTGAATGGGATAAGGAATTAAAGGCTGGTAAGGAAGGGATTGATTGCACACGTAATCATGAAGATAGGATGGGGGTTTACTGGGACGTGTGGAGCGACGAGGCAAGGGTTGGGTGGTGTCGGGAGGAGCATTAGACGACAAGTCTAAAGTTGGGTCAGTAAGAGAGGAGGTAGTCTCTGGTGGGGAGGGGGAGGAAGTGGTCAGTTTTTGGTCAAGCGGGGGAAGGTCAGGAACGGGAGAGGGAGCACAACATGTGGGGATGGAGTTGTAGTAGGGCTGTCAGAGCGGAAAGGAAACGAGTTTTCATGAAAAATAACATCCCGACTAGTAAAAACTTGTTGTGTGTCTAGGTCATAGAGGCGGTAGGCCTTTTGACCGTGGGGATAACCCAAGAAAATGCAGCGCTTGGTGCGAGGAGCAAATTTATCTCGACGAAAATGTGAAGTGGATGCATAACATACACAAACATCCAAAAGTACGCAAAGAATGAAAATTAGGGGGTTTTTTAAAAAGAATTTCGTAAGGGGATTTATTGTTTAAGAGGGGGGTGGGAGTGCGATTAATAAGGTAGGCAGCGGTTAGGACACAATCACCCAAAAAGTGTAAAGGGAGTCTAGATTGAAAACGTAATGCCCGTGCCATATTGAGTAGATGACGGTGCTTACGCTAAACAACTCCATTTTGTTGAGGAGTACTAATGCAACTCGTTTGGCCAAGAATGTCATGACTAAGCAAATAATTTTGAAAAGCGGGTTGCATAAATTCGGATCCATTATCGGAACGAAAGGTTTTAACACAAGTGTTAAATTGAGTTTTCACATAATTCAAAAAATGCACAAGAAGAAGAAAAGCATCAGATTTAAAATGCATTAAGTAAGTCCAAGTAATACAGGAAAAGTCATCAACTATGGTGAGAAAATAACAATGATTAGTACGTGTAGGGGTAGAATATTTCCCCCAAATATCAACGTGAATTAATTCAAAGCAAGCAGTAGTACTAGTGTAATGAGTGGGGAAGGGGAGACACGTTTGTTTAGAAATATGACAAAAATGACACAAGTCATTAAAAGGGGAACAACCCAAAATAGGGGATAAGTGTTTAAAAACAGTAGGAGAAGGATGGCTGAGACGGTAGTGCCATGTCTCGGACGAAATAGATAGTATAGTAGGTGTAGATCCGGAACTGGATACAACATAAAGACCACCACGTTCATGGCCCCGACCAATCTCCTTGTTCGTCAAAAGGTCCTGAAAAATGCAGTAGTTAGGATAAAAAATGACAGAACAATTGGAATCATGAGCTAATTTTTTTACAGATAGGAGATTAAATTTAAAACTAGGAACAAATAAAACATTGGATAATGAAATTAGGGAATTAAGATGGACATCACCAAAACCAGTAACTGGTATACTATCCCCATTGGGAACAGAAATATTTAAAATGGCAGCGGGGGGACATGGGAATTAATAAATAAAGATGAATCATAACAAACTTGATCGGTAGCACCGGTGTCAATAATCCAATCAAAATGACTAAAAGGAGGAGAAGCGAGAGCAAGAGGCATACCAATCATATTAGCTTTGGGTTCTTTAACGTCCCGAAGTAGACGAAGTAAGTGTTGAACGGAAGTATTACCTTCAATGGTGGGAGAAGAAGGAGTAGGGACAAACTGCCCGTGAGTGTTACCATGGCGGTAATACTTCTGACCGGGCGGGTAACCGTGTAGGCGATAACAAACACGTTGAGTGTGTCCGGGGATACCACAATGAGTGCACCGAGTACGCTGTTGGCCAGAGGGGCGGTGTTGTTTATGAGTTGAGGATGCACTAGCAGAACGGGAAGCATTGGCACAAGAGTTATGGGTATCTGGTGAGGATACATGGGCAGATTGGAAAGTGGCCTGAAGGGCTGCATGTTCCGGAGTGGGCGGCAGAGAGGTGTGAACCCTTTGAGCCTCTCATCTTGAAGAAGAAGAGAGTATGCTCGTTTGACTGTGGGAAGCGTGGCATTGAGTAGCAGCTGACTCCGAGATTGAGCATAAGTGTCACGCAGCCCCATAAAAAATTGCATGAGACGCCGCCGTTCAATTTGGGCAGAATATTCGCCGCGAGCCGTGCACGTACACTTGGGTGGTGGGTCAAGGAGAGTTAACTCATCCCAAAATGCACACAGGTTGTTGTGATATTTGGAAATAGAAGCATCGCGTTGGTGAAGGGTGGCTATGGATCGTTCCAGTTCATATATGCGAGGACCATTAGCCGTAAAGTAGCGGTCATGAAAATCAGTCCAAACGGTGGTAGCATCCGGTGCATAAAGCACCGTGGGGGCAAGGGATGAATGGACAGAATGGAGAATCCAAGACATTACCATGTTGTTGATGCGGTGCCACCGAGCATGATCTGGGTGATCTTGAGAAGGAGCAGGCAAGGAGTCGTCAACGAAGCAAAACTTGTTACGTCCTTTGAGTGCCATAGTCATGGCTAGGGACCAAGAGGTGTAATTATCATTACCAGTGAGGACAGTCCCAACAAGAGTGACGCCAGGATTGTCGGAGGACAACAAATGGTAAGGACTCTCGAGGTCATAGTGTGAAGAACGGAGCGTCACGGGCGGAGGAGTGGGAAACCTCGTCGGAGGTGTCATCCTCGCTAGAAGAGTGGCTTGCATCAGTGGTCATGGTGTGAATTCCGTTGGGGCTGCTTTCTTTGTACCGCCAGCGAGGGAACTAAGTCAAAAAAGAAGGCTGTAGCATGTAGGCAGTGTTGGAAAAATGATTTTACAAATTAATATTATGGTCATTAATATTATTTGTAAAAATCATTTTGAAATGAATGAGAAATTGTTTCCCGGAAGATAAGTGTGAAATTATATCTCACACGCAAACACCGTCACCGCCGTTCAATATTCCGGGTCAGGTTTCGGGTTAGAGTCTTAAACCGTCCTCCCGAGTATATGGCTTAAAGATAATTATATTAGTCGCTCTTAATTTTGGATAATGTTTGGCAATAGATACATCCATTGGTTTTAGAAGGAGGGTCACGACCTTTCTTTCTAAAGGTGTCTTTTGGGTGTAGAGTCTCCTGGCCAGAGCTCTATATATACCCATGACTGCCAGCATTTTCAATCAATCCGAAAATCATCACACAATCCTCCATATTCTCTCTTCCTTCGTTGCATCTTTGAGTTCGCCGGAATCCCGTTGGGAGCGAAGAACTGTTCTATCCTGGGAGATGATTGCTAAGTTGGGCAAAAACGTCTTAAGGAAGCAACGCTTAAGTTGGGCTCGGTTACAAGTAATTATACATGTTTCCTTAATTATTTAATTATTTAATTGTTATTTCATTTAATTTGCATGTAGAATATTGTACATACATATAACAAGACGTTTTCTTATATGCAATCTGCTTGCTTGTTTTATGCCGTGTGTGTTCATACACCTACTTAATATCTTAGTTTTATTTTAATATATTTTAATATGTCCGTATCTGTTAATTATCTTGTCTGGCCGTTTGTTTGTAATAAAATAATACAACTCTTCATACTTTACCGTTTCACTTGATTTTCAACATGTTTGTTCGTGTATATGCGTAATCCCAAATTATACCGTGGGATCGGCCCACCTTCCGCATGGTGTGCCTATCCCACTTTAGGCAAGTTCCTTTTTCTTTTCTTTCTTCCTGGAGCAACGTAAATCCCTTTTCCATTGCTTTTCTTTTTATTTTTCTTTTGTTCATCAATTCTTTTCTTTTTCCATCAAATTAAAATACTAAAAATTTAATGGCAATCATACTTTTCTTTATCTTCATCTTAAATTATAATTGAATCTATTTTTTTATTCTTTAACAATGCATAACAAAAAGTTTATTAATCTAAATAAAATAAGTATATTGCAATTAATATTCATACACTATTTTTGTTTTTGTATTAATTTTTATATTCATATACTTTTTTTGTAATATACTTTTTATATTCATACACTTTTTTGTTATATTTTTTATATGGAGAAACTTTTTCTATAATATAACTTTTTATCACTTTTATATATTTTTAGATGTTTTTAAGACATTGAGTTTGTTTATTTTGATTTTTGAAGTTACATTTGATATTATATCATTAAGTTATATCTTCTTCCACGCGAGTTACATCTTATTGTACGCGAGTTACATCAAGTGGCGGATCCAGGATACAAAGTTATTGGGGGCGGGGTAAACAAAAAATGCATCAAAAAAAATTAATAAAGTATTAATGTAATAGTACAATAATTTTAACAAAATACATCACACTTGTTCGCGCCCAGTTTTAATCTTTTGGAAAAGATTCATTGCAATTTCATTTGTAACAATTTCAAATTTCAATAAAAGTTTTAACAAAATACATCAAATTAACTTTTGTAATACATTAATACATTTTATTTAACTACCTAAAGTAACATATTATTTATATTTAGTGTTTCTAACATATTAAATGCCATTTTGTAATTTATAATTTCTAAGTGTAAAACATTACATTAATAGATGGGTAACTATTTCGGAAACACACCAATTGAATTTAATCTAATTGATCTTTCTAAAATATTAAATCCGATTCATTTAAATAAATAACCCTATAACAAATTTTTAACATTATTATTAGTTTAGTAAAACTATTTAGGAAGTTTTTACTTGGATTGTTTTCAATCCCAGACCAGATCAGACCTGACTAAATAGACCAGACCAGACTTAAACAGACCAGATCGGACTTAAATATACCATACCAGACTTTACTTGCGTAGTTATAAAATAAACAAAGACCAGAAATTTACCAGACCAGATCATACTTAAACAGACTAGAGCAGTAAATTGTAGTCCAAGTAAAAACATCCTTAATATTTATATTAGGGAAAAGGGACAAATAAGCCCACGTACTAATAAAAAAGGTCAAATAAGTCCTTATTTAGAAGACTCTGTCCGACCGTCAAGATTTGGGGCGGTTTCCGGTAGAATATTTTGATGAAATTTTTTGAGCATCTTATTCATTGAGTCTAGTTTTCTCATACCAAATTTTATCTAACAATTCAATCGAGAAGACATTCAAATGAATTCTTGAAGATAACTGCGTTTTTAACTGCACCATTATCTTCAAGAATTCATGTGAATGTCTTCGCGATGGAAGTTTTAGCTGAAATTTGGTATGCATAAACTAGACTGAATGAATAAGATAATAATAAAAATTCATCAGATAATTCCTTTGGGAACCGCCCCAAATGAGGACAACCAGACAGAGCCTCCTAAATAAGGATTTATTTGACCGTTTTTTGTAAGTACGTGGGCTTATTTGCCCATTTTCCCTTTATATTAAATACTAAAAGTAACAATATATAAAGTCATAAAACAACTATACGGAGTACTAAACTAGCAAAGGGGCAACTACTTCTTTTTATTGGGAGCAATTCATTTTGTTTATTGGGGGCAACTACTTCTTTTTATTGGGGGCAATTACTTGGACCTTTAATTTTAATTAAAAACTTACAAAGGGTTAGTGGGATCTTATTGGGGGCAGCTGCCCCCCCTCATATGTGAGTAGATCCGCCCCTGGTTACATCTTAATACACGCGAGTTACATCTTAGTGTATGTGAGTTACACCACGGAATAAACCCTTGTTATATCATTTTTATAGCCCTAATATTAAACATAAAACATATTCACTATTAAAAAAAAAGTAATTAAGCTATTAGGATCAATTTTTCATTGTTTTCATTTAAATCAATGTTTATGACATATATATTATTCTTAAACACACACAAAAAATGTTCTATTTTTCAACAAGTTACATTCTGTATACATCTAAGTTATATTTGTCATCAACACGAGTTACATTAAAAAATCAACGCCTGCTATTGAAACAAAAAAAAATAAAAAAAATATTTTTTATGGTCATGATATTAAAAACAAAACATATTCACAATTTACGTAAAACAATTGTGAAGATAGACTCTTTTTTTTCATTGTTTACATTGAAATCAATATTGTATTTCTAATACTATGTATTTGACAAGTTACATTTCGAATGCACTTGAGTTACATTAATCAATAACGTAAGTTACATATCTTTACTCGCGAGTTACACCATTCATGCTACTGGGACAAAAAGAAAGAAAAAACAGTTACTGTTCACGCGTGTACTGTTCACGCGATTTTTTTTAAAAAAAATGGGTAAAGCTACGAACTGATGCGCAATTGTTTAATCCGGTTGCATCCGTTTCCATGT